ATCCTCCGCGGCATTTGAAGCCGCATTTACGCGTTTTATTGGTAGGCGGGGACTCCCCTGCCGGGTAATGTCTGATAATGGACGTAATTTCTTGGGAGCAAGCAGAACACTACTTAAAGAATTTTCCACATTTTTAAAGAAAGCATCGTCTGAAATGTCTAAAAAATATGCAGCTCATGGTTTTGAATGGAAATTTATTCCCCCGCATGCACCCCATATGGGCGGCCTATGGGAAGCGGCCGTCAAGAGCTTTAAAACCCATTTTAAGAAGATATGTGGTGCCCATAAACTAACGTTTGAAGAATTCTCCACATTACTTGCTCGAATTGAAGGCATTTTAAATTCTCGTCCCATTTCCGCAATCTCTGAAGATCCTGCAGATATGACTGCCTTGACACCCGGACATTTCTTAAGAGGCTCGCCACTGATGGCATTCCCTGAATTACCATCCCAGAAATTATCGATTATTAATCGTTGGTCAAAAGTTAAAGCTCTTCACCAAAATTTTATAGTTCGATGGAAAGAAGATTATCTAAAATCCCTTCAAAAACGGTATAAATGGAAGACAAAATCCAATGACATTAAGGTAGATGATTTGGTAATTGTCATTGACGACATGCTCCCACCCCATGAGTGGAATCTTGGGAGAATTGTAAAAACTCATGCCGGTTCCGATGGAAGCGTACGTGTAGCCGATGTAAAAGTAACAACCGGAATAATAACTCGGCCAATAGTTAAATTGTGCTACCTACCATTCTCAAATTCCGACAACGATACAAGTTCCCAATAAGGAACAGTGTATCACAACCTAAATCATTATACCACCCGCTACTAGTATATATTTTTTACTAATCTATCTAATAACATTACAGATCACCCCAGCGCCAACAAATCAACATACATAAATGCAAATTGTGCAATCTATTTCACGCCCTCAAAAATTGTCCAAAATTCCTAGATATGACTCCAAGGCAACGGAATCTCTTGGTTTTAAAGGAATCCTATTGTGTCAATTGCTTAGCAAGAAGCCATCGGTTTCGAGATTGCCGTTCTCACAACATGTGTCGAAGATGTGGAAGACCTCACCATACGTTACTACACACTGTCTATCCAGAAATCAGAGGCTCACGATCATCACCTTCAAGAGAAAGCAATCGACAGCCAACTGGTAACCGAAGTGACAGCCAGAACAACAACAACAAGAACAATGGAAATACTGCAACTCTGAATCCGCAAATCCTTTCTGAGGCTATACGAGCCATTGCTACGGTTTTATGCTCCACTCCAAAATAATCATCGTTGGACCCGGCGGCATGTCTAAACTAGTTTACACTTAAATATTCCTAGTTAATGTGAACTGTTTTATCGACTAATAATATCTGAAATATGCTTCCCTTAATGAATATTAATTACTTAAGTAACTGAAATGTATTGAACTGAAACATCACTTTGTACTAATGAGTTTTCTTGCTGGGTAGAAGCCGAATGTACAAGCCTTCTTTTGTAACCAACCACACCGTAAGCACACAAGCTCTCTCATCAATAAATCATTATAAGAATTCGTAACCGACTCTGTTTATTCCCTAGTCTAACATAATTTTGCGTAATCAAAAATACATAATTTCTCATTTCTGAGAAATTATTTAATAATAATCAAAGGTGGTCGTGGATCGCCAGTGTCAACGAAACACTATTGCTTTGTCTAACCTCTTCTTTAATTACAGTCCACACTCTCTGTCTCAAAAGCTATCTTTAAAACAGGTTCCAATTACTCAGCAGCAAAACCTGCCAGCGCTCTTATCCGCCTGTACAATTATTATTATTATTATTATTATTATTATTATTATTATTATTATTATTATTATTATTATTATTATTATTATTATTATTATTATTATTATTATTATTATTATTATTATTATTATTATTATTATTATTACTATTATTATTATATTCATTTAGTAGTTTTCATACAAATATAGGACGGATTTCCAAAACTACCTCCATACTGTAGCTGCTGACGACATCAGAGGCCTAAGTAACACATTTCGGGATTACAGCCTTATTCAAATAACAAATTGCGGAATTCCAGCCAAATTTAGTATTATTAAGTTGTTTTCTTACAAATATAGGACCAATTTCCCAAACAACTTACACATATTAACCACAGACAACAACAGAGACCTAAATAACAAGTTTGGGGATTCAGTCTTATTCCTTCACCTAATACCAAATTTAGTGTCACTGACGCACTGTTGAAACCACCTCCATATTTTTCGAGATTCCAGCTTTATTCTGTGTTCCAGCAAATTTAGTGTTATTTAGTAGCATTCGTACAAATATAGGACGCATTTCCAATACCACCTCCATATATAAACCACAGAGACCAACAAAGCTAAATAATTAATTTCGGGATTCCAGCCTTCACCCAATACCAAGCAGTGACACCAACACAGACCTAAAGTACAGATTTCGGGATTCAGTTTCATTCCTTTACCCAATCTCAAATTTAGTGTCATTTAGTAATTTTCGTACAAATATAGGACGCATTTCCAAAACTACTTCCATATTTTAACTATTGACAACCTCAGAGGCCTCAATAATGAATTTCGGGATTCCAGCCTTATTCCTCCACCCAGTACCAAATCTAGTGTCATTTAGTAGCTTTCGTACCAGTATAGGACGCATTTCGAAAATCACATACATGCCTTAGAAACAGACATCAATAGAGACCTTAAAACATATTGCGGTATTCCAGCCTTCACCCCATACCAAATTTAGTATTAGTAATTATTATAGTATTATTATTATTCCAAAACCACCTCAATATCTTACCTACAGATACCAACAGAGACATAAATAACAAGTTTCGGGATTCCAACCTTATTGCTTTACCCAATACCAAATTTAGTGTCATTTAGTAGCCTTCTCCAAAATATAGGACATATTTCCAAACAACCTTCATATCTTATCCACAGACACCAAGAGAGGCCTTAATAACTAATATCGGGATTCCAGCCTAATTCCTTTCCTCAATACCATATTTAGTATCAATAAGTAGTTATTATACAAATATAGGACGCATTTCCAAAATCGTATCCATATCGTAACCACAGACAGCAACAGAGACCTAAATAACAAATTTGGGAATTCAGTCTTATTCCTTCACCTAATACCAAATTTACTGTCATTGACGCACTATTAAAAAAAACCTCCATATCTTTCGGGATTCCAGCCTTATTCAGTGTTCCAGCCAAATTTAGTGTTATTTTGTGGCATTCGTGCAGATATAGGACGCATTTCCAATACCACCTCCATATATCAACCACAGACACCATCAGAGCTAAATAATTAATTGCGGGATTCCAGCCTTCACCCAATACCAAATACACATCTAAAAAAAGACACCAACACAGACCTAAATAACAAATTTCGGGATTCAGCTTCATACCTTTACCCAATCTCAAATTTAGTGTCATTTAGTAATTTTCGTACAAATATAGGACGCATTTCCAAAACTACTTCCATATTTTAACTATTGACAACCTCAGAGACCTAAATAAAAAATTTCGGGATTCCAGCCTTATTCCTCCACCCACTACCAAATCTAGTGTCATTTAGTAGCTTTCGTACCAGTATAGGACGCATTTCGAAAACCACATACATAGCCTTCTCAAAATCATAGGACACATTTCCAAACCACCTCCATATCCTAACCACAGAGACCTATATAACTAATTTAGGGATTCCACCCTTATTCCTCTAGCCAACACCTAATTTAGTGTCATAAAACCACCCCTGACAACATAATAGATATAATTAAAAAGTTTCGGCATTCCAGCCACATTCCTTCACCCATTACCAAATTATGTGTCATTTAGTAGCTTTCGTACAAATATAGGACACATTTCCAAAACCACCTCCATAAATCAACCACAGATACCAACAGAGGCCTAACAAATTTCGGGACTCCAGCCTTATTCCTTCAGCCAATACCAAATTTAGTATCATTTAGTAGTTTTTGTACAAATATAAGAAGCATTTCCAAAACTACCTCCATATCTTAACCACAGACACCAACAGAGACCTAAATTACTAATTTTGAGATTCCAGCCTTATTCTTTACCCAATACCAAATTTAGCATCATTAAGTAGTTATTGTAAAAATGTAGGGCCTATTTCCAAAACCACTTCATGACCACAGACAGCAACAGAGACCTAAACAACAAATTTGGGGATTCAGTGTTATTCCTTCACCTAATACCAAATTTACTGTCATTGACGCACTGCTAAAACAACCTCCATATCTTTCTGGATTGCAGTCTTTTCCTTTACGTATTACTAAGTTTAGTATTATTTAGTAACATTCGTACAAGTGTAGGGCGCATTTCCAAAACTACATTTCCACAAACAACATCAGAGGTCTAAATAACAAGTTGTGGGATTCCAGCCTACATCCAATACCAAATATATATATATATATATATATATATATATATATATATATATATATATATATATATATATATATATATATATATATATATATATATATATATATATATATATATATGTATATATATATATATATATATATATATATATGAAATCTGTTTACATTTACGTTGACAGATCTAAACAAGGTTAATCATTTACAAATTAATTATGCGTTAACCCATTGTTAACGTTACAAAACAATAATTACCAATCTAAATTAAACATGCCGCCCACCTTGCAACATATTGAGATGTTGTAACTAAAATACAATAAAAATACATTTTTTTCAACTTTTTTTCTAATACATTTTCAATTTAATTCAATTTTTTTTCTTTTATTTCTCAATTCATATCATATTTTTTTCAAAAAACATTGTGTAACACTATATGTTACATATGCCCGACAATACCCACCCAAATATGGCGTCGCTTGCACCCTATGAGTTACGACCCTGGCATACCAAGGCCACCCGACCAGGCCTATTAAAATCGGGATCTGCCAAAGAAAGACCTAAAAATGAGTCACGAATGCGCTCGGGGATTACCGCTGTAGGCGTAAGCGCATGGTCCAAATTGGTTACCACAGCCACAATTGAAATGGACTGACTCCGGTCATAGATCGAACTAACGGTCAGCCGACATTTCACAAAGGCGACATTTATGTGAGGCCGCAGATGAAACCTTATGGGTTTCGGACCTTAAATTATTTTCCGACTCCTCCAAATGAGGTGTGGCAACCGGAGCCGCAGATGGACCCGAAGATCCGGACTCGGTTTGTAATGTAACATTTTGGGGGGATGAATCAAGGACCGGAGCCGCAGATGAATCCGTTGATATGGATTCGGACTCGGTTTGCATCGGTTCAGCGAGGGCCGCAGATGAATCCGCTTTATCGGATTCGGACCCATGTTCTGATATTTTTACAGCCGCGATCGGCTCAGCAAGGGCTGCTTCCACTGCAGCTGACGACATTCCAGCTTGGGGATCGGTGGGCCGAGGTTCATTGTAGTCAATACCGTCATCAACATTCAAATGTTCTTCTTCCGAATAGATTTTCACCGACATACTATATAATGAGAAGAGAACAATATTATTCGTTTGCGGGAGTGTGGTCGGTCAAAACGACCAACTTTGTAATGGGCCGTTTTCCGTTCGAACGTCCGCGACTCTAACATGACCGTCGGTGCCCGGAAAAACATTTTCTATACGCCCTAATTTCCACGACGTTGGGGGAAGCTGATCATGACGAACAACGACTAGATCGTCAATCGCCATTTATCTTTGGGGAAATTTCCACTTATATCTCATATGCAACTGCTTGAGATATTCATTTTTCCACCTTAAACTAAACTGGTGGGCAAGGGCCTGAACTTTCCTAAACCGATTAATTAGACTTAATGGTTGCTCTGTGATGAGAGGTTCAGGCGGGGCTAACAAAGGTGCACCAATCAAGAAGTGACCTGGCGTCAATGCAACGATTTCTCCTGGATTATCCGACATTGGACACAACGGCCGAGAATTAAGACAAGCTTCGATCCTAGCCAATACCGTTGCTAATTCTTCAAACGTGAATTTTAAAATTCGAGATTGCTTACAAATGTAACTTGAAGCTCTTGACTCCAGCTTCCCATAACCCTCCCATGTGAGGGGCACCAGCAGGTATAAAATGCCATGATAAGCCCTGGTCGGATAAAGACGAGGAGGCCGAGTCAGCGCTTTTTTGGAGGAAATCTTTAAAATTTCTTTGAAGTTCACGCGATGCTCCAACAAAATTTGTTCCATTATCCGAATGGGGGGGATGGGGACAACCACGTCGAGCAATAAATCTATGTAACGCAGCCATAAAATTAGCAGTCGACAAATCGGACACTGCTTCCAAATGAATTGGCTTTGTAGAGAAACATACAAAGACATATACAAAGCCCTTTGTCATTTTACAAGACCGACACATATACGATTTTACATCAAACGGACCTGCGAAATCCACGCCAGTGTTTGTAAAGGGTCGATTAAGAGTTGTTCTCTCAGGGGGAAGGGCAGCCATAAATTGACTGCAAGCACGTTTCTTCAACAGAAGACACACTTTACAGCGACGAACAACCAGCCGAACCAAACTTTTCATACGCGGAATCCAATATTCTAATCTCAAAGTTCGCATCATTAACTGGATATCACCATGAACAGATTTTTGGTGGGTATATTCTACCAACCGTAGAGCAAAGGCACTCCTATAGGGGACTATTATAGGATTACGTTCCGAAGGTGCAAGTGTGGGCGAATTTACCAGTCCACCATTCATTCGCATGACACCATTGTCATCTATGAAAGGATTGAGAGGAGCCAACAAACTCTTACTATCTAACGCCTTCTTGTCTAACAGATTCTTATAATCGCTGACGAAATATATTTTTTGAGCCGTAATTGCACAATAATTACGTGCGTCAATAATCTCTGCCGAGGAAATGCGTCTAGTGGGATAGTAGTAATGGTTTCTATACCGGGGATGCCTTTGACGAATAAATCGAAACGCGTATACAATGAAGTGAAGAGCTCTACGCAAACAAGAAAAGTCTTCCAAAATCTCTTTAAATGTCGACGGAAAGAAAGCAAAGTGACATTTAACGGGGCGCATTTCCATTTCAGTACTAATCGGAGCCAGATCACGAATAGACCATTCCGATTTAGTTTTACCTAGCCAACTAGGGCCGTTCCACCACAGGGGGGAGGCGGACAATTCTATCGGAGACAATCCTCGACTTCCTAAATCAGCAGGATTATCTTCAGATTTAACATGGTACCAATTATAATTGCCAACATTTTCTTGGATTCGACACACCCTATTCGCTACAAAGGTCGTCCAAGTAGAGGGGGTTCTCTTCAACCAGGCAAGAACTATAGTCGAATCTGTCCAACAATAAATTTGATTAAATTCCAGATCTATTTCCCGCACAATAGTTTTCAATAGGTCTGATGCTAAAACTGCTCCACAAAGTTCCAAGCGAGGAAGCGAAATTGATTTCAAAGGGGCAACTTTCGTTTTGCACGATAGCAAATTAACGAAGATGTTTCCATCGGGGGACTCGACACGTATATATACTACCCCCGCGTATGCCTTTTCTGAGGCATCGGAAAAGACATGCAGCTCAACAGAAAATCCTGGAACATATTGAACCCATCTAGGTATCCTAATCGAGTTAGTATGCGGATATGTTTCGACAAAACTGCTCCATTCAGCCTCAGTAGCTGCCAGAAGTTGATCATCCCAACCAATGTTGTCCAGCCAAATCTTTTGCATGATCATTTTCGCCCTAACAATCACAGGGGCCAACCAACCGACAGGGTCAAACAATTTCGCGATTGCCGAACGAACTTCCCTTTTAGTGAAGTGTTTATTGACAATAGGACTCACTTCGAAGAAGAAACAATCTAAACGCGCATTCCAACTAATACCCAGGGGTTTAGAACTACTAGCTTCTACAAACGATAAAAGCTGAGCATCTACCAAATGCTCAGGGGGGAAGCGATCCAAAATAGCTCTATTATTTGCTGTCCATTTTCGCAGCTCGAACTTTGCCGACGATAGTGCCCTAATCAACTGGTCCCTAGCTGCCAATGCAGTCTCGATGTCGTGAGCTCCTGCCAAAACGTCATCAACGTACATACATTTTCGCAATATATGCGCCGCGAGGGGAAACTCTGACTCAGTATCATCGGCCAGTTGAAGAAGCGTTCTAATCGCTAAATATGGTGCACAATTTACACCGAACGTCACTGTCTGTAGTTCGTAGTCTAGGACCTGTTTTGTTGTTGAATTCCGATACAAAATTCTCTGAAGGGGCGAATGCTTTGAATCTACACGAACTTGCCTATACATTTTAGTAATGTCCGAGTTAAACACGAATTTGAAGATACGCCAACGGAGGATCAAAAGAACTAAATCTTGTTGTAGCGTTGTGCCTACGTGCAATATGTCGTTAAGACTCTGCCCATTCGAAGTTTTATTTGAGGCCTTAAACACTACTCTAAGTTTCGTGGTCTGTTTTATGACGGGGTGATGTGGTAGATAACACGAAAGGACATCCATAGAAGTATTTGCGGGTACCGGCCTCATGTGGTCAAGTTCCAAATATTCCGATAACACCTGGTCGTAAACTAGTTTTAATTCAGGCTTTTTCAATAGAAAACTCTCATTCCGATAATATTGTTTGAGGACGTTCGTGCGAGAATCTCCCAAATACCCAATAGCGCTAATCTCAGATTTAAGTGGCAGCGTAGCGATATACCTACCCTTTGAGTCCCTACGAGTAGTCCGGATGTAATTCTCCCCACAAAAACGGTCCGATGGGGATAATATTTTGCGTTTAGGAGGCTTTTCGATTTCCCAAAATCGCAAAAGGGTCTGTTGGATTTTGTCTTCCTCTGCTACATCGACAGTTGTGGCAAATGTTCGAACTTGTGTGGCTGGGATAGGACCCGTAACAAGCCAACCAAATACAGTATTTTGAGCAAGCAATGCTCCAGACAAAATGGGACGACAACCATCTAACAATATTTTTGGATAAAGATCAGCACCTAACAGCAGATCGACGGGACGAGATTCAATAAGGTTAACATCTGCCAAGCGAAGGAATTTGTGACCTTAAGTCGGAATTAACCACAAACGAGGGAAGATTTACAGAAATGGCATGCAAAACTAAAACGTTGGTTTCCAATTTCAGAGAAGGGTCGAAAGGACTGCTAACTTGTAAACGACAAGCTTTATTAGCCGTGGCCGAGAGTGAACAACTAACTCCTGAAATTACATCATTCGTAGAACGCGCAGGGAGCTTCAAACGAGTTTGGAGTCTCTCTGAAATGAAAGAGGACTCGGATGCAGGATCTATTAACGCCCTGGCAGCAAAAGAAACACCTAGATGAACAATATTCACCATTGCGGTACCTAAGAGTACAGCCTTGTTCTGCGCGGCGTGAAATACTTGTCGGGGCAAGCAACCGGCGGATGTGCATGGCACGCAATTTTCTGAATTAGGGGGGACAGTCGAAGGCGTAGCACTCGAATTTTGGGGGGCATTGCTAGTAACTGTGGAAGTTCGATTTGAGTTACTAGAGGTAATATCATCCCGATGCAACAAAGTATGGTGGGACTTGTTACACTTCGAACACCGACGTTTGCTATCACAATTCTTAACAATCGTTAATCGTTCCTAAGACAGTTGATACAAAGATGATGACGTTTCATTACTTTGTATCGATCAGCGGGTGTGAAACTCTTAAAGCGGGGACAGTCATACAATTTATGACGCTGATTTTGACAAATTAAACAATTTGAACCTTTCGAAGCGCGGGGAGAACGCGGTGGCTCCGGAATTCTGATATTTGAATGATGCGCTTGAACTTTACTATTATTTGACCGCTTAGACTGATCTGTAGCACGCATATCATGGAGGCACATGAGCGTACGTATGCGCTCAGTGAGAAAGGCATCCAAGTCCTTCCAGGACGAAAGAGAAGATTTATCCTTAACACTCTGCTTCCAAAGAGTCTGAGTAATTTTTGACAATCTCTGGAGACACAAAAATACTAATATCGGATCCCAATTTTCCGTATTGACATCATACACGGACATCGAAGAGAGGCATCGATTGATACCACGTTGGACCGACTTTAATCCCGAACTAGTATCACTATAGAGGACCGGAATATCAAACAAAACTTTCAATTGGTTATGAACCAGAAGCCGAGAGTTATCATAAGTTTCAACTAGAGCCTTCCACGCGAGCTCGAAACTACGATTAATTAAGGGGAACTTCGATACAATCTCGCGAGCTTCACCAAAAGTCTTTCTAACCAGATGACAAAGTTTTTCAACGTCGGTAAGACAACCATTAACAATATATATATAGCCGTAAACAAATCCCTAAATGTTGGCCATGAGTGGAAATCACCTTCAAATATGTCCGTATCGCACGGCGGTAGGGCAAGGTTATGGACACAATCCAAATGAGAAACTTCCTCTGTAGTCCTAAAACTGGCACTATTATTTCTCACAATAGAGGAAAGCGGAGTTTGTATCTGCGAATGATTTTCGCGGAAAGCATGAGTCGAAGTACTCAAATTGTTGCCCGTAGCTTGCGAGTTTTGTATGGGCGACTTAGCTGAAGTCTCGCCCGGCGTTTCTATCAACGAAGCAAACGAACCACAAAGACTACCATTGATAGAGGAAGTACGATATTTTTTGAATTGCCCTATCTTTCTATTAATTGCGGACTGGCAGTCGACATAGATTTGAAATGACGAATTGTATTTCTGATCAACCGCATCGATAACTTCTTTCGTCGTCTCTACTGACGACATCATATAATCACAGCACTTTTCAAATTTGTCCTGTGCTTGCGTCCAAAGTTTTTCTAATGCACTAAGATGAGACTGCAGCGCATGAATATCGAGCTGGTCATCACGCATCGTATTGAAACGAGCATTAAACTGGATGACCGCATCCGAAGTTCTAGTGAACATATCAATTGGGGTGAATGACTTTGTGAATAAATTTCCCGAAATTTGTACTACAAAAAGCAAGAAGGGAACGTCTAAAGCACGATTTGCTCAGATAATTTATACAAAATCCACGAATTACTGATTCTTATTCACAAAATATACGAAGAAAACACAAAAGTTTATACAAAAACTCCAAAAGTTTCAAAAAATCAACCGAGTTTTTCCAAAGTTCAAGAAAAATACCGAAAAGCTTCCGAAAATCTAACAAAAACGGAATATAGGGCCAAAGAAATCGAAATTTTCCGAGAAATAAATGCCTTGAACCTCTCACACAATAGTGAAATATCAAAAAACCGGTCTAAAATCACCAAAATTGTCATCTCCGATGAGATATTTAGCAACCAAATGCAAATATACGATGAAAAATATGTGAAAATGTTCAAATAAATAATAAAAATTTCAAATATATATTCAAAGAAATATCAATAAATAATAAAAAATTGTTAAATTGTGTAATTTTCCAAAAAAACGTATTTCGCGCACAAACAATTCAAAATATTCAATTTTTTATTATTTTCTACCGAAAATATTGAGATTTTATTATTTTTATTTCCACAGTTAACCTACTATTTAGGCAATCAAACTACCAAATGTAGCGTATTCTCAAAAAATAAACTTTAAAAAATAAAAATTTTATTTAAAATCTCCAAAAGTAATTAAAATTTTGAAATTCCAAACGAAAAATATCAATTTTAACACTTTTTATTTAAAAAAGTCGTATTGACCGATTGTAGGATGTACGCGTAATTAATTTTCGAAAAACGTCGTTTTCTAACACCCAATTATCATTCAATAATAAACAAAAAATAAAATTTTAATATTTTATGTTGGTCCGTTTATCGAGGTTCACCTGTAAAATATGTTACGTTGCGTTTATCAAGGGTCACCTGTAACACAACAGAAAATACCAAACGTATGTACGTATATGTGTGTAAAGCGGCTGACCGACTAAGCAACGATACTAACCGTATGATTTTTATGGCTGTACCAATTACAACAAAACCAATGCAATTGAAGTAAGTGTATTTTTTGAGGGTGATTTGTGAAAAATATTTTAAATATTAAAAATGCAATTTTGCAAAAAATTTAACAATTTTAAAATTTCAATTATACCAATCGATGGGGAATTTGATGCATACTAAAATGACACCGCACAACAATATATTATTTTCAACAGAAATTCTAAAAATACACTTTTCTTCATTTTTTTTTTTGATTTTTCTTTATTTTCAATTTGCCGTCGGCAAAACAATATTTGCAAACTAGACGGAGAGGACGGGGTATGCGACGCGTTGTAAGACGGCCACAAAGAATATCAACGACGCGATTGTTGTTGTTTTTACACAATTTGTTTCGATATTTTTTTTTTCTCTTCAAGAATATTATTTATTTAAATTCATTGGCACTTTTTTCACTGTACGTACCTGATTGTTTTTGATAGAAACACGGTGATGATGTTTAGGAGATGATGTGGTGGACTGTATAGATGGTGATGATGATGTTATGCTTTGCAATTAGAAGAAAAAAGAAGAAAACGATTACTTCTTTTACCAACAGCTCGTTCGTAATCCGGTACGAATGCACCAATGGTTGCGCCAATGCGGGGAAAGATGCAAAGCTCAAACCAATAAATAAATAAAAACACAATAGGGGGGTTTTAGTTTTAAGAATAATGGCAAAGGCCGTATTTATTAATAATAATAATAAATAATAGTTGGTAAGACAGATTACCTGATTTGCACAATAGCGGGGGAGCGCGACTTCGTATCGAGCGATAGAAGAGACGAGAGTAAAAACCAACGATCAAAACATGAAGGAAGGTGGAGGCTTTGGCGCCATTCGCCACTCGTTGAAATCTGTTTACATTTACGTTGACAGCGTTAACCCATTGTTAATGTTACAAAACAATAATTACCAATATAAATTAAACACCATTATTATAATTATTATTACTATTATCGCAATATTATTACTAAGTTCGCAATAGGTTCTACAGCATATAACACAAAATTGCACATTGAGGTCCACGTCTTCGTTTAGCACCCATATAACGGTACCTCCCGATATTTGGTATTTTGATGATTTAGGCGACATTATTCACCGAAATTGTTCAAATTGATATTAAATTATTCGTAGTTGATATTAAAGCCTTTGACAAAAAACTACCTATGCAGGTCCACGTCTCCGTGTAGCCCCCATATAACAGGGCCTCCCGATATTCGAAATATCCATAATTTTAACCACATTTATCAATGGAATTACCTGAAATTCTACACAAGGAGTTCTTTGTGAATACTTTACTTTTTGACTTTTGAAGAAAATACAGTTGCTCTTTTTTTCTGCATTTTAGTTCATAATTCAAGTCATCTTCTTGAAATTTTTATTTAACAGCGTTAATTTCGACTTGTTAGCATTGGTTTTTTATGGCTTGTATAATGATATGGACCTGGCGTGATTGGATTGTACGAGGCGTCGAATTTTAGGCAAACGCTGTAAAGCATAAAAGCCTAACTTTTTATACCCTCCATTACAATGCTGATCAACGATAAAGGAGAAAGGACATACCGAGAATCTCAAATATCAAGTTTCAGCTAATTTGGTTGAATATTATTGACCAATATTTTTTTATAAGTATCTATTCTCCTAATTAACATCAATTGTTGGATACATGATGCCATGGTACAATAAAAAAGTAGGGTAAGCTTATGAAATCAATAAAAAACCACTCTGAATCTAGATTATTGTTTCTTCAATATTAATAATACAAATTGCATCTAGTTATGTTGTTTATTTTCCATTTTCCCCAGTTTTTAATTCGAGAAAAAATCTTGAAAAATGAGTGGAACACGGAGTATTTATTCCACTGTCTAGTTGGTTACGTGATTACAGTTTACTTTCATCCCAATTGTATGAGGTTTATATGGTGGTATTGAGAAGGTAAATGCATTTCAAATAAGAATTTCCATCTCTGCATTTTCTGTAACTTGATCATTAGAAATATTCAAAAACAACATAAAATCAATAAAAGAAGATCTATTGTCCTCCGTGCTCTTTTCCAGAACGTGCAATAATTTACAACTTTTCCAAGTTTTTTTTTTCTAAATTGTCCATTTGGCATTTTAATGTTATATAACTACTGTAAGTTTCGTTTCAAACACAAATATAAACTCAATAACTCAGATGGTACATTATTTTATTTGAACGGAATATGACACGGAGGACAATAGATCTTCTTTTATTGATTTTATGTTGTTTTTGAATATTTCTAATGATCAAGTTACAGAAAATGCAGAGATGGAAATTCTTATTTGAAATGCATTTACCTTCTCAATTCCACCATATAAACCTAATACAATTGGGATGAAAGTAAACTGTAATCACGTAACCAACTAGACAGTGGAATAAATACTCCGTGTTCCACTCATTTTTCAAGATTTTTTCTCGAATTAAAAACTGGGGAAAATGGAAAATAAACAACATAACTAGATGCAATTTGTATTATTAATATTGAAGAAACAATAATCTAGATTCAGAGTGGTTTTTTATTGATTTCATAAGCTTACCCTACTTTTTTATTGTACCATGGCATCATGTATGCAAAAATTGAAGTTAATTAGGAGAATAGATACTTATAAAAAAATATTGGTCAATAATATTCAACCAAATTAGCTGAAACTTGATATTTGAGATTCTCGGTATGTCCTTTCTCCTTTATCGTTGATCAACATAGTAATGGAGGGTATAAAAAGTTAGGCTTTTATGCTTTACAGCGTTTGCCTAAAATTCGACGCCTCGTACAATCCAATCACGCCAGGTCCATATCATTATACAAGCCATAAAAAACCAATGCTAACAAGTCGAAATTAACGCTGTTAAATAAAAATTTCAAGAAGATGACTTGAATTATGAACTAAAATGCAGAAAAAAAGAGCAACTGTATTTTCTTCAAAAGTCAAAAAGTAAAGTATTCACAAAGAACTCCTTGTGTAGAATTTCAGGTAATTCCATTGATAAATGTGGTTACAATTATGGATATTTCGAATATCGGGAGGCCCTGTTATATGGGGGCTACACGGAGACGTGGACCTGCATAGGTAGTTTTTTGTCAAAGGCTTTAATATCAACTACGAATAATTTAATATCAATTTGAACAATTTCGGTGAATAATGTCGCTTAAATCATCAAAATACCAAATATCGGGAGGTACCGTTATATGGGTGCTAAACGAAGACGTGGACCTCAATGTGCAATTTTGTGTTATATGCTGTAGAACCTATTGCGAACTTAGTAATAATATTGCGATAATAGTAATAATAATTATAATAATGGTGTTTAATTTATATTGGTAATTATTGTTTTGTAACGTTAACAATGGGTTAACGCATAATTAATTTGTAAATGATTAACCTTGTTTAGATCTGTCAACGTAAATGTAAACAGATTTCAACGAGTGGCGAATGGCGCCAAAGCCTCTACTTTCCTTCATGTTTTGATCGTTGGTTTTTACTCTCGTCTCTTCTATCGCTCGATACGAAGTCGCGCTCCCCCGCTATTGTGCAAATCAGGTAATCTGTCTTACCAACTATTATTTATTATTATTATTAATAAATACGGCCTTTGCCATTATTCTTAAAACTAAAACCCCCCTATTGTGTTTTTATTTATTTATTGGTTTGAGCTTTGCATCTTTCCCCGCATTGGCGCAACCATTGGTGCATTCGTACCGGATTACGAACGAGCTGTTGGTAAAAGAAGTAATCGTTTTCTTCTTTTTTCTTCTAATTGCAAAGCATAACATCATCATCACCATCTATACAGTCCACGAATCATACCGAGTATAGAGAACGGGAGAGCGAAATAAAATTAACCAAAAATTAAGCGTTTTTGTTTTTTACAGGTGTAAGAGGGATAAACATATGCCTTCTCTCTTAGCGCCTGGTCAAGAATCCAGACTTTTGATATCTCTCTATGTTTAGTTCAAATTATGAATAAACAAATATGCGTTGTGTCCTATGTTTTTTTCTCTTCGATCATTTGCTCAAACGTATTCGAAACAAAGACAATGAAGACGATTTGGTTACCTGACACTCGGTTGTTTGGAATTACACTACTACTTATATCAATCGAGTGCTGATTGCATGCCAAAGCATATATGTCTACTTTTTATATCTGTATGTATTCAGCTCAATGTTATAAACATTTGGTCTGCTCCAGAACCTGCAATAATTTACAACTTTTCCAAGTTTTTTTTTTCTAAATTGTCCATTTGGCATTTTAATGTTAAATAACTATTGTAAGTTTCGTTTCAAACACAAATATAAACTCAATAACTCAGATGAGACATTTTTTTATTTGAACGGAATATGACACGGAGGACAATAGATCTTCTTTTATTGATTTTATGTTGTTTTATCTTCTTTTATTGATTTTGAATATTTCTAATGATCAAGTTACAGAAAATGCAGAGATGGAACTGCTTATTTGAAATGCATTTACCTTCTCAATTCCACCATATAAACCTCATACAATTGGGATGAATGTAAACTGTAATCACGTAACCAACTAGACAGTGGAATAAATACTCCGTGTTCCACTCATTTTTCAAGATTTTTTCTCGAATTAAAAACTGGGGAAATGGAAAATAATCGACATAACTAGTTGCAATTGGTATTAATAATATTTAAGAAACAATAATCTAGATTCAGAGTAGTTTTTTATTGATTTCATAAGTTTACCCTACCTTGTAAATTATTGTACCATGGCATTATGTATGCAAAAATTGATGTTAATTAGGAGAATAGATACTTATAAAAAATATTGGTCAATAATATTCAACCAAATTAGCTAAAACTTGATATTTGAGATTCTCGGTATGTCCTTTCTCCTTTATCGTTGATCAACATAGTAATGGAGGGTATAAAAAGTTAGGCTTTTATGCTTTACAGCGTTTGCCTAAAATTCGACGCCTCGTACAATCCAAATACGCCAGGTCCATATCATTATACAAGCCATAAAAAACCAATACTAACAAGTCGAAATTAACGCTGTTAAATAAAAATTTCAAGAAGATGACTTGAATTATGAACTAAAATGCAGAAAAAAAGAGCAACTGTATTTTCTTCAAAAGTCAAAAAGTAAAGTACTCACAAAGAACTCCTTGTGTAGAATTTCAGGTAATTCCATTGATAAATGTGGTTACAATTATGGATATTTCGAATATCGGGGGGCTACACGGAGACGTGGACCTGCATAGGAAGTTTTTTGTCAAAGGCTTTAATATCAACTAATGTCGCTTAAATCATCAAAATACCAAATATCGGGAGGTACTGTTATATGGGTGCTAAACGAAGACGTGGACCTCAATGTGCAATTTTGTGTTATATGCTGCAGAACCTATTGCGAACTTCAAATGCGAAAGATAGCGTGTTTACAACAGACGGATATCGATAAATCAATTTAGAATACGCTGAGCCAGAATATACATACTTTGTGGAGTCTAACATGAGTATTTCGAGGAGTTACACCCTCTATAGTATGGTGGATGTTATAGAAAACAAACTCGTCTTTTGTATGAAGTCTCTTTATTAATTTAGTAT